TTTTGGATTTGTGTGTTTTCAGGATGGAGAAGCAGAAAGGCAGTGAGAAAAACCATCACCTCAGAAGATGTGGCCTTGTTTTGAAGAACATGAGGAGTCATGGCTTTATGGAAAGATCACTTAATTCTTCTAAGCCTGTTAATCCTCCCTATGCCTGAGACAGGGAACGTACAGCTAGGGAATCAGAGTTGCAGAGAGGTGGTTAATACATTCAACACCCACAAAATGCTCTAATCTGATCTGGCACAATAAGCACTTAAATGCTTTGATCACAGTTGCTTGTTCTTTTGTGTGACATGACTACAGGCAGAGTCAGAGAAGGTTTGAGGCATCACTCACTATCTTTACACGCCTGGATTTCACTTAATGCAATATTAGTGCTGAACATCACGGATGCATAATTATCCCCCCAAACTAAATTTCACAAAATACTCAAGAGTAAAAATCATTATGGAAATAGAGCAGTATTCTAAACTTTATCTCCATATAATCCAGGTAGGGAGACAGGCAGTGGGAGCTGTTGCACACGTTTTTTCTTATTAAGATGAAATCACAAGCATTCTTGGGTAGGTAAGTAACTAAAGAGAAAAAATCATAATATTATACTTGTTAAAAAATGGGATCCCATTCCCCACTGCCCTGTACCTTGATGAAGTAATTTGTTCCAGCAACCACCTGTGTTTTAAACTCCACTGCAGTGAAGACATCAAAGATTTTCCCTTCTTTTTCTTCTAGCTGGGGCTTCACCTTAAGAAAACAAAAGGTTATTTAAGACTGATGCAAAATTCAAGTATTTAGGACTTAAGGCCCGCAACACCATTGCCTCAGTACCATTCAGGTTTCTAAACTGCTGAGTTTCTACTTTTCAGAGTTACTAAAAGATCAAAATGGATAACACAGAGACCTATATTAAAGCAAGGCCAGAAATCCAGACAGGCAGCAAAGCCAAGACAGCAGCGTGAGTCAGTCCTCACAGACTGAAACTAAGCCTCTATTTGAGAACTGCCTGGGTACTCCGGAAGATATATTTTGATAAATGACTTCCTCTCTCCATGTCTCAGCTTCCCTTTCTGTCCTGTATATTTATCAACAAACGTAAAGTGGTTTGATACCTACACATACAAGACTTTATAAACTTCTCTTTAAAAAAACTAATGAAAACACAATGTTCACCCTGACAAAAATGGCTTTCTTCAGCACAGAAGAATTCTATGTTCACATGCCCAAATTCAGAACAAGCTATTACAGAAGCAGCATTATAGAACAGACAAGTATGCAAATAAAGCTTTAAAAGCAAGACACACAAGTCTGAGGTTTTATAACACTGCTTTGACAGTTCTTCCAACATGTGATACTGTAGTCTGTAGTGTTTTCAAACTCCAAATATTTTCGAAATAATAACTGAACGATAAAGCCTTCTGAGTTCTCATTCCCAGCTTCCAGAGTATAAAAATCAGCGCTCAAGAAGTCAAAATAACTTGCCCAGAGGGAGACATGAACTCATATGAGTTCCAGCTCTTCTTTCCCACATTTGGCTCTCTAGAACATCACGGCTCTACTGTAAAATTCTTGGTCAGGAAAGCAGAAGATTTCAAGCTTCGTTTACAAGGGTAATAAGAAGTAGTCTTGGAGTCCTTGCTGCAAGCTCAGTGCTCCCCAGAAGGCCTTCCCTCCTGCAGTACACCATTATGCAGCTCTCCCTCCACTCCCAGTACAACAGGAAGAGCAGCAAGCAGATTTTCTCTTTCTAGATATATTGTGCTATTTCCCTTCCTTCATAAATCAAGGGGAATTAATATATTTGCCATCCTGCCTGCATGCCATCCACTGCCTTGGGGGAAAACTCTCAGGTGCTCCAGGAAACAATGAAGTAGGAACAGAAACAATTCTTCCGACGGGATCTGTTCTCAGGCCTTTCCCTCCCCACTACTGAGAAGATGCAGGACGAGGCACTAGCCATCCATCCCGTCCCTGGGAGCCAGGATCATACCATATATCCTCTCTCAGAGGTCATACCTCTATGCTTCTTCCAGGTTAGGAGCAGTACTTCAAAAGTAAGCATATGCCATTTAAATGCTTTCTTCTGTAAGATTTGTGCTATACAGAAATCCAAGCGAACCCAAAACCTTTGCATGGAAGGGTGCAGCCGGAGAAAGCACAGCAATTCAGTCCTCCCACTGGGACTCACAAGAGGGAGGAAGTAAGCTCAGTGCCTGTCAATAGAGTTACTATCACAAATTTTAAGAAAGGGGTAGAGGGGAACAAGAGGTATTATCGCTGGCCCTCTGCTGTCCCTCACTCCCTTAGCAATCCTAGGTGCTGTGCAAGGTTGTTTTTTTTTTTTTTTTTGAGTTTGGGAAACAGCCTGGCTCAGCATATTTCCTACCTCCACCAGAAAGCTGAACACTGGGCTCCATGACTGCAGCCAGCTCAGAGTCACATGGCAATGACTCGTCCCAGCCCGTGACAAAAGGGCATCCTTGGCGGGGGCGGAGAGGGAGAGCCCAGAGAGAAATGCTCCCTGCAAGAACTGCTATCAACCTGCTGTGCTAGTGAATGACCCAGTGCTAGATCTGGGGGTGCTGGGGGACAGTGCACTAAACCTGAGCCAGCGGTGCACCCCAGTAATAACAGCATACCAGGCTGCATCGGCACGAGTGCAGCCAGAAGGCAGGGGCAAGCGATTGCTGCCCTTTACTTGGCACTTGTTAAGCATGTCGGGAATCATGCGTCCAATTTCCACCCGCCTCAGCCAGGAGGGGAGAAGGCTTGCAGGAAAGCCTCCCAGTGGCGACAGGTTCCTGAGAAGACCGAGCCAGGCTCTTTACAGAGGGCCATGGCAGAAGGATGAGACACAGTGGTCATAAATTGAAATTGGAAGGTCTGTCTGTATATAAGGAAAAGCTTTTTCCCATGAGGACAGGTTGCTCAGGGAAGTTGTGCAGTTTCCATCCTTGGAGGTTTTCAAGAGCCAGCTGGGTGAAGGCCTGAGCAGCCTGGTCTGCTCTCAGAGCTGACTCTGCTTTGAGCAGAAGGAGCGGCCCCTTCACACCTGAAGAATCTGCGATTCAATCACAGGACTGAAAATTATTGTGTCCTGAAGGCTCTGCGGTGTCCTGCACAGCCTGCTTGCTCGCTCTCAGAGCAGTCACTAAAAGATAGGTGGTTAAAATTCACCCTGAGTAACCTCCAAAGGCTGAAGAGGCCTGGGCTGCGATCCTTGCCTTAGAGAGACAGCTCCTAGAAGACTCTCAAGCCAGGGACACTGTTGAAGGGAAGCCTGTCCTGCTGTTCCATATGCTTTACCTGCATATGGTGCTTACCTGCATATGCTGCTTGCCTCTGGGCAAGCAGCACTACTTGCCAGGGCTATGAGTTTGACCACTGTTCAGCATTACACTGTCTTTAGGAAACAATCCGATGGAGATGATAACTGGAAAAGCAGCCACAGGAAATGTATCTGTGGTGAGCAAACTTGGCAGGCTCTTAACAAATCTCCAAAAAGATTAGATTTTAAGCAAACAAAATAATTCAAGAACTCCTATCTTCATTTAACAAAAAGAACATTTTCGACATAGTCTGTATCCAGCTGAGCATACTATTCCACAGGCGAATTTAAGTTTTGAGGATTCCCATGTATGTTTCATTAAATAAAATAATTTAAAAGAGCAGTCAAAACAAACTGGACAAACTTTGAAGTATTTAGTTTTAAATGAAAATGCCAGGTTTTCAGCAAATTCCATCACTTCTGAATCCAATTGGTTTGCTTTGGTTGTTACTCTTCATCCTGTTTTTGGGTTACTGAAGCACTGCAGCCTGCCACAGAACAGAAATCCAGGTTTTTAAAGAAGTCTAGTTCTCAGCCCATGTGCAACGTTAATTGCACACTAGCCTTATCTCTAACACAACACTCAGGCCTCTTCAGAGCAGAATAATAATTGTCAATCCCTCAGCAATTCTCAATCCTGTACTCGGTACTGCAAGCTCAGCTTAGTGTTTAAAAGTTATACATCTCTTTTTAGGCAACATCATCACATTCTACAAACTAAACTTTAATTTCAATGACTACTGCGCAGTCCTGCTGTCTTTGGGCGTTTTGTACGTGCGTGGAAACTGCTGTGGTCTGGCAAATCTGGGCGATGATAAAGAGCGCAAGAAGCTACAACTTGTCCTTAATCTTTCTTAATTGGTGTGACAAACCCTAGATGATAAAAGGAAAAAGCAGAAGGCACTTCAGGGTTATTACACACAACTGACACAAGGCCGTATGTTTTGAAAGCAGAACTCACTTGTACATAGTCACTTTTAGAGCAAACGCCCGTGTTCCATTAGCATGGACAGCAATTTAAGATGCAATAACGAGCACCAATATTTGGAATTGCCAGTTTTTAGAGCTGAATTCTGCTTTGTGAAATAACAAGAGATATTTTCTTGCCTATTTGCTCCCCCCAAAAGAGGTTTAGCCTTCATGAGAGAGGGAGCTCCTTCTGCCAGGCCCTGTTTCCTCTTGAGAAAGGAAACAGACCTTTTAGGAGCTCAAACGTTACACCTCGGGAAGCAGACGGATCACATCGTGCTAAAATTACTGCTAGATACTACATCAGTTTGCACAAGCAGGAACAGAGCTGCCGAGTACCTAATGAGGCACTCAACGGCGCTCTCCAAACGCTGCGAAAACTTCCTCTTGCAATCTCGGGCTTGCTCTCTCGGAAGACCGCTAGCAGAGACCGA